TTTTTTTTTTTTTTTGCAGTTTTTGGCCAGGGCCAGTTTTGAACCCACCACCTCTGGTATATGGGGCCGGTGCCCTACTCCTTTGAGCCACAGGTGCCACCCAACACCCGGCTATTTTTATGTTACAGTTTGACCAGGGCCAAGTTCAAACCCACCACCATCAGTATATGGGGCCAGCGCCCTACTCATTTAGCCACAGGTGCCGCCCCAGGATTTTATTTTATTATTATTTTTTTGAGACAGAGTCTCACTTTCTCACCCTCGGTAGAGTGCCATGGCAGTGTCACACTGCTCACAGCAACCTCCAGCTCTTGGGCTTAGGTGATTCTCTTGCCTTAGTCTTCCAAGTAGCTAGGACTACAGGCATCCACCACAACACCTGGCTATATTTTTTGTTGTTGTTGCGGTTTGGCCGGGGCCGGGTTTGGACCCTTTACCCTCGGTATATGGGGCCAGTGCCCTACTCACTGAGCCACAGGTGCCGCCCTATTTATTTTTTATTTATTCATTTGAGACAGAATCTCACTCTGTCGCCCTGGGTAAAGTGGCATTAGGTCATCATAGCTCATAGCAACCTCAACTCTTGAGCCCAAGCAATCCTCTTGCCTCAGCCTCGCAAGTAGCTGGGACTACAGGCACCCACCACAACACCAGCTAGTTTTCTATTTTTAATGGAAACCAGGTCTCACTATTGCTAAGGCTGGTCTCCAACTCCTGAGGTCAAGCCATTCACCCACTTTGGCCTCCCAGAGTGCTAGGATTACTGGCGGGAGCCACTGTACCTAGCCTTCTTCCAGGGCTTTTTTTTGAGACAGAGTCTTGCTTTGTTGCCCTCAGTAGAGTGCCCTGGCATCATAGCTCACAACAACATCAAACTCTTGGACTCAAGCAATTCTCTTGCCTCAGCCTCCAAAGTAGCTGGGACTACAGGCACCCAGCTATTTTTAGAGATGGGGTCTCACTCTTCTTTTTTTTGAGACAGAGCCTCAAGCTGTCACTCTGGGCAGTGCCATGGCATCACAGCTCACAGCAACCTTCAACTCCTCGACTCAAGTGAGACTCCTGCCTCTGCCTCCCAAGTAGCTGGGACTACAGGTGCCCACCACAACACCCGGCTATTTTTTGGTTGCAGCCATCATTGTTGTTTGGTGGGCCCGGGCTGGATTCGAACCCACCAGCTCAGGTGTATGTGGCTGGCACCTTAGCTGCTTGAGCCATAGGCACCAAGCCTTTTTTATTTTTTTGAAAGTTATCTTTTTTTCTTCTTTTACAGTTTTTGGCTGGGGCTGGGTTTGAACCTGCCACCTCCAGCAGATGGGGCCAGGGCCCTACTCCTTTGAGCCACAGGCACCCCCCCCTGGGTCTCACTCTTGCTCCAGGCTGGTCTCAAACTGTGAGCTCAGGCAATCCACCCTCTTTGACCTCCCAGAGTGCTAGTATTACAAGGCTTGAGCCACTGCACCCAGCTTCTCAGGATTTTAAACGAAATGACGTCTCTGCACCTGTGGCTCAAGTGGCTAAGGCACCAGCCACATACACCTAAGGTGGTGGGTTCGAATCCAGCCTGGGCCCACCAAACAACAATGACAGCTGCAACCAAAAAAAAAAAAGAAAAATTGGCCAGGCATTGTGGCAGGTGCCTGTGGTCCCAGCTACTTGGGAGGCTGAGGCAGGAGACTCGCTTGAGCCCAGGAGTTGGAGGTTGCTGTGAGCTCTGATGCCATGGCACTCTACCCAGGGGGACAGCTTGGGCTCTGTGGGTTTTTTTTTTTTTAAGACAGACTCTAGCTGTCACCCTGGGTAGAGTGCTGTGGCATCACAGCTCACAGCTACCTCCAACTCCTGGGCTTAAGTTTTGCAGAAAGACTAGGCCCAAGAGAGAGAAAGAACACCCAAATCCCACATTGATAAGGGGAAGGGCTTTATTTACTGGCTGGGAGCTTACAGCATAGAAGAATTCCAAATGGCTGCACTCTCTGACTGACTTGGTCTTTCCCTTTTTATGGACAAAAAGTTCCAACTCTTCTCACTGGCCAGTTTGAATCAAGTGGGAGATGCTATTCCAGCCCCTACAGAACTATAGGATTTCACAGAACTTGGAAATTTCCAAGTTCCAGGAAATTAAGTTTACAGATTCCCAAGAGCTGAGTGACCATGGAGAGGACCCCACAGGTGTACCCTTGTGGTCTCCTTGAGAAGACCTGTCTTCCTAGACCTCACCCTTCTCGGGTATCCTCTCTTAAAGTGATTCTCTTGCCTCAGCTTCCCAAGTAGCTACAGGTGCCTGCCCCAACGCCCAGCTATTTTTTGGTTGTAGTTGTCATTGTTGTTTGGCAGGTCCAGGCTGGTTTCAAACCCACCAGCTCTGGTATATGTGGCTGGCACCTTAGCCGCTTGAGCTACAGGTGCAAAGCCCTTTCTGTTTATTTTTATAGTTCAGATAGATGGTAGCTATGCTGAAAGTTTTTGCTCTGATTATATACAATCCTGAAACGAGGAAAGGTATCTTGGTGTGGTTAACAACGTAAAAGATTCCAGTCAGAGTTGGACCACTTTACTGACCAGTCTCGGGGGTTAAGACCCACCACTACTGCTTGCAGAGCAGGCCACCCTGTGTGACACCTTGCACTATGCAGCTCTCTGACTTTATCACCCTTTGATGGGTTCCCTGTCACTGAGGAGCTAAAACACAAACCCTATCCAGGCCTCAGGAGCTCTAACCTCTGCCAGCCACCACCTCCAGAGGGTTTCTGCATTGGAGTTCACATTCTTACACAGACACACCCACACTCCACTCTCTGGAAGGGCTAAATTACTTTCGGTGTTTATCAACATACTTTTTTTTTTTTTTTTT